TGCATGCATATACATAAAATATTTTACAGATAGCATATGAATGATTTATTGCTTTTTGTGTGATTACGTCCATTTTATAAAAATGATATCAGCTTTCTAATGTACTCGTATATACGTACTTTTTACTGTCTTTTCCACTTTAAGATCAAAATCCAACAACTTCAACGCCAGGTAAAGTAATAATAATTGATCATACTTGTCATAAACTAGGATACAATTATTTTAGAATGTTCCGATAGTTAAAAAAGTCATCTTACATATTATCATAACCCTTTTTTTGAACAGCATATAACCCGTGCTCGTCAGGTCCCTGCTACAATAATGGTACTTGCTATAACAATAATGGCTCCTACGCTTGCGCCTGCGAAGGAAATTACTACGGCTACAGATGCCAATATTGTTAGTATACATTTGATCCTGATATTTTCCTTCGAGTGGTATGATTTTAATCCGTATTTATTGATACTCATTTGGTCTAAAGTTTATAATCAGACTCTTTAATACATATAGCTAGAAATTGTGATGTATATGGTATATACTATACGTGCGAGTATAGCATAGTAGCTTATTTCTACCAAATGGCTAACATGCAGAATGTTGTTTATTTGTAATATGATGCATTTAATACTGCGTCAATGTATCGAGGTATGGTACTAAATTTTCTTAATTAAAATATTTACCTGGTTTAGTGGCATCAACAACAAATGCACCAACAGCTTCAGGTAAAAGTGCACATCATCGATAGCAAAATTTAATATTGTTAATGAATTGAACAGGCTTCTAAATATAATATGTGGCAATTGCATTACAAGTTTTCATCATCCTATAGTTACTGTTCGCTTTTAAAATCTGACTATAGCTCTATCATTGATTATAACTTTATTGTATTATAACTCTCAATGATAGGAACTGAAGGTCAAATTCGACTTGTAAATGGCAATGGCTACTCGTCCGGCCGAGTAGAAATATATCATAACGGCGTCTGGGGAACTGTTTGTGATGATAACTTTGGTATTAGTAACGCCATAGTCATTTGTAGGCAATTAGGATTTTCATCAGCCGCTAATTACTCTTGTTGCGCTCAATATGGCCAAGGAAGTGGCACTATTTGGCTTGATAATGTCTCTTGTAGCGGTAGTGAATCTTCCATTAGCAGTTGTAATCACAATTCTTGGGGATCACATAATTGTGGCCACAGTGAAGACGTCGGTGTAGCGTGTATAAACGGTAAGTAAAACAATTTTGAAATCTAACACGAGAGCCAGTAAATTAGTAATTTGATATTTCTATTAAATGGTGTTTATCTGTTTAAAGTAGAAACCATTACGATTGAAATACAATAAACTTAATTTTAGTTAAATTCAGAAATTAATAAATTACGTTATATGCGATAGTTTAACGAGTCATTTATTTATAGAAGTGATATGTCGCTAGTTAATTTATTTTAACAAATACTAGGTAGCTTTCTAAACTTCGTGTCTTTTATTTCTGTTACCGAAACTTTTGCCTAATGTTTTATAACATTGTAAATAATAGACAACTCTTGCTCATCAAATCCATGCTATAACGGTGGTTCTTGCGTATCGTATAGCGGTGGATATTACTGCTCTTGTAATGGAAACTACTATGGCAATCGTTGCCAATATGGTATAAAAGCTGCTAAAATTGTTCTATAGACGCTCATATATTAAAATTATATATATCTTATAAATTTTCTTCTAATTACGAATTTAACTTTATATATCTTAGTTGATCCTTGTAGCTCTAATCCTTGCTTCAATAGCGGCTCATGCAGTATCGTTAACAACACTTACAGCTGTTACTGTAACGGAAATTACTACGGAAATCGTTGTCAATATTGTAAGTATATCATAATCTATACATGCGTATATCGTAGGAATTTATTTACAGTAATCCAATTTACAGCTACTAGAGAAGATTATTGACGATAGTAGTATGTATTGTAGTTCAGTAAAAGTAATAACATAATTTCTTCTATATATAGATCATAATCCGACAACAGCTTCGACTACAGCTCCGGCTACGACTCAAACAGGTAACATATGTTTAATATGTTTTGCGATTAAATTTTTACAACATTGTGTAATTACTTCAGCATAATTAATTCTAGGCATTTAAAAGCAATACTGAGGCAATATGTAATTTATTACATAATTTGTATAGGCATTTAGTTATAGTATGATGTAAATATGTTTCAAGTTTTCATTATTCTATAGTTACTGTTCGCTTTTAAAATCTGACTATAGCTCTATCATTGATTATAACTTTATTGTATTATAACTCTCAATGATAGGAACTGAAGGTCAAATTCGACTTGTAAATGGCAATGGCTACTCGTCCGGCCGAGTAGAAATATATCATAACGGCGTCTGGGGAACTGTTTGTGATGATAACTTTGGTATTAGTAACGCCATAGTCATTTGTAGGCAATTAGGATTTTCATCAGCCGCTAATTACTCTTGTTGCGCTCAATATGGCCAAGGAAGTGGCACTATTTGGCTTGATAATGTCTCTTGTAGCGGTAGTGAATCTTCCATTAGCAGTTGTAATCACAATTCTTGGGGATCACATAATTGTGGCCACAGTGAAGACGTCGGTGTAGCGTGTATAAACGGTAAGTAAAACAATTTTGAAATCTAACACGAGAGCCAGTAAATTAGTAATTTGATATTTCTATTAAATGGTGTTTATCTGTTTAAAGTAGAAACCATTACGATTGAAATACAATAAACTTAATTTTAGTTAAATTCAGAAATTAATAAATTACGTTATATGCGATAGTTTAACGAGTCATTTATTTATAGAAGTGATATGTCGCTAGTTAATCAATTTTAATTAGAGGCACACGGATGACCTAGTTCATATCAAAAGTAGAACTTTAGAATTCAAACGTATGAGTTGCTAATTATTACTACATATTTTAACGATGGCTTTTAAACTGAAAACTTGTTATAGCTTCTACGATCGCACCCTCAACCCAAGATACACAATGTATGATACTAAAACATACTTTTAGATACATAATTATAAGTTGCACATAAGTTATTTACTATAGTACTGTCCGTGAGCATTAATAATTTTAAAGATACCAAATTTATTAAGATAATCATCGCATTTTCTTATTCGTCTAGATGAAGAGTGCTCATGCTTATTTTATCTAATATGATTATGATATTCCGTTGTAGCTTCTAATCCGTGCTCATCTTACCCTTGCTATAATGGTGGATCATGTTCATCCTACAATGGCACATATTATTGCTCGTGTTCTGGAAATTACTATGGAAATCGTTGCCAATACGGTATTTCAATATTGTCTACTAATAGCGTCCATACTTATTTTATCTAATATGATTATGATATTCCGTTGTAGCTTCTAATCCGTGCTCATCTTACCCTTGCTATAATGGTGGATCATGTTCATCCTATAATGGCACATATTATTGCTCGTGTTCTGGAAATTACTATGGAAGTCGTTGCCAATACGGTATTTCAATATTGTCTACTAATAGCGTCCATACTTATTTTATCTAATATGATTATGATATTCCGTTGTAGCTTCTAATCCGTGCTCATCTTACCCTTGCTATAATGGTGGATCATGTTCATCCTATAATGGCACATATTATTGCTCGTGTTCTGGAAATTACTATGGAAGTCGTTGCCAATACGGTATTTCAATAGTGCAGTTCATAGCGTTAAACAATAATAAAGTCAGTAATCAGCTACCCTAGCTTTAAATTATTACTGCTATTTTAACAATGATTTTAAACTCAAAACTCGTTGTAGCTTCTGCAAGTGCACCTCCGACCAAGGTACACAATGTATGATACTAAAAATATAATACAGTACTTGTAAATGATTTACTCACTATAGCACTGCCTGTCACCATCGATAATTTTATAGATTCTAAATTTATTACGATGATCATCGCGTTTTCTAAATCGCCTAGATTAACAGTGCTCATACTTATTTTATCTAATATGATTAAAAATACAATTCTGCTATAGCTAGTAATCCATGCTCCTCAAACCCTTGCTATAATGGTGGATCATGTTCATCCTATAACGGCACATATTATTGCTCGTGTTATGGAAATTATTACGGAAGTCGTTGTCAATACGGTATTTCAATATTTGGTTGCTGATAGCGTTAAATATTAATAAAGTCAGTAGTCAGTTACCCTAATTATAAATTAAATTATTACTACATATTTTAACAATGCTTTTTAAACTCAAAACTTGTTATAGCATCTACGACCGCAGCTTCAACCCAAGGTACACAAGGCATGATACATAAACACAGTTTTATATGATTTACTCGTAATCGCACTGTTAGTGACCATTGACGATTTTATTTTATTATATTTTATAATATTTTATAATATTTTATAGAATTTTATAGATTTTAAATTTATTGCAGTAAGACAGATGTGTTAATGCAACGGGTTTTTATATACTACTATACGATAATAGCGTATATATGCTATAACGAGGTATAAATACAGTGTTTGATGTTTACCAGTAAGGATAGATAATTTCGTTAGATTACTATTCTGTATATATTTTATGCAGTAATATATACTTGAAAAAGCATAAAGGCTAAACCAAAAATTTTCAATGTTTCATGACCTTGTTGCTATAGGATCTTCGCTATCAGGTAAATATAGTATTACTTTATTCTAAAATTGTAATTTACATGCATGTACACACTTGGATAATTTTCATCATCTTTGTTGTCATTTCAATAAATATCTTGAATATTCTTAGCTTTCATTTTCGTTTCATATTGATGGCTAAACTGTGCACTGTACATTTTTAATTAATAGATGAATTTAATACCTTTGTATGTAACTTTATTTAACCTACTAGCTTTAAATTGTACCTTTGACTATGGTGTTTGCGATTGGATCACCAATCATTTCAATTATACCGATTGGGTTCGAAACCAAGGATCAACATCAAGTTATGATACTGGCCCAACTGGAGATCATACGTCTGGATCAGGTTATTAGATGCAGGACTTGAAATTATTAAGTGTGAACAGTGCCCAATAAGTGGATTAATTTGCATTTGATCCATTCCATCTAATAGGCTTCTATATGTATACTGAGACATCATCACCACGAGAACCTGGAGATAGATATTTAATCGAGAGTCGACCATTTACCACTAGCCAGGCGTTCTGTTTCACTTTCTGGTATAATATGTATGGCAACGCAATGGGAACTCTGCAACTGAGGGATTATGGTTCTGTTCTGCTATCCTTTACTGGGAATCAAGGGACTAGTTGGCACAAGGCTACTGTTACTATAGGACAAGGCTCTCACTTGGTAACGAAGTGTATTTCTTTCTTTAAATTTGTTACAATTATATTAGATGCTAACAATTTTATCATTCAATACTGATGGGCTTGATTCAGTATTAAAGTGCCGATACTGTAGTTTTTAAAATTTTTTTAGCTTTTAATTAATATTGAAGGATTATCTATCTATTTTTGTGTCCTAACACATTCACACTCACTCTATTTCATCTAACTATAAAATCAAAATTAAAGCTGGCTCCTCATGGTTGGAATTGGAACTGCAAATCACATTTGCTAACTTATAATTGTTTTTATTATGGTATTTTACTTTTAGCTACAATTTCTAGGAATAAGAGGCTCAGATTATACCAGTGATATGGCAATTGACGATACGTCCGCTAAGCCAGGAGTTTGTGGTAAGAAAAAGTCGTATGGAGTCTTGTTAGTAATTTACTCTACCTTGCTGGATTTTCTCGTAAGATCATGATTATACCGTAGTAACATTGCAAAAAATAAGAACCGTTTCCTTCAATTACTATTATGAGAATTAAGAAAATTAATTGCAGTAATCCTTTTAAAAACATATGAAATTACAATCAAAAATAACCTTTGAAAAAACTAATATCGATGTAGTACCACAAATCGGATTTTCCTGGCTATTGTAAAAAAAATAATATAAGAATTTCGGCTCTTAAAAAATAGCCTATAAAGTACACTGAAGCTACATTCAGGAATAGTGATTTAGAAGGCTATTATACATGCCTGTCTAAAAATAATCTACGCCATAATACCGAAAAATTAATTTGTGACGATAATATTTGTTACTTGCAGCCATGTAGAGTCAAACTGGTAAATCAAAGCTTATAGTCCGATATGATATCTCAGACACATCGGCTTTGAATATACTAAGAAATGCTGTAATATGCATCATTTCCGTAGTGTATTACATATATAAGATGGAATATGCTTGTCAAGTAATATGGAATAGCCAAAGGACGTTAAAAGTGTTTCTTAAATTCCTAATTTTTAAGGTGTTGCCAAAGATTTCGATAGAACAGTTTATTTCGACCGTGAAAAAAACTTTAGAGGTACGTGGAAGAGAAAGATTTAGGGATCCTTTCATATCAAGTCATAAATTATTTGTTTTATATATGAAGTTATATGGCGATATTGTTTGGAGCTAGAAGTAATAACTTTTTTTTTTTCTGGAGTAGACGATGCAGATATAGATTTTCAAGAGGAACAAGATCTAGATCGCATCATGCAGGATTTAGATTAATAGACTATTAAGTAACTAGAACCTTTGGACTACCTGCAATAAAGTAAGTAATCAATCTGAACAAGTTTATGATGTATTGACATTGTTGCATAAGAAATGTCGACAGTAAATTTTCATATTCTTAAAAGCCTCGGTATTGTCATGAGATCTCTAAGATTTTATATGAAATATTTAAAAGTTTTGTCATTTTGAGTCCGACAATACATTTGAATTTCAAATATGTAAGCGATAGCTATTACATAACAGTAAATTTAGTCGCATATTAACGCGAGTTTTTATAAGCTTTCATGACTTATCTACATAGTTTGGTATTTATGAATTAATATTGTATTTGAATGCTATGTTAGATATCGTATGTTCACATTAACTTATATAAGTATGATTTCTAATCGTCATATGCCGTAAATCTTATTTATCTCTTTTTTCGAAATAGTTATACTACAGGTCATCGTTTAGGATGCAGACACTAACTCCCACTTTAAAGATAGGAAAATATTCAAAACCTACAAATAGATCATTTTCTTTGCGTGCTAGATAAATTAGTCGTCGTTGTCATTGCTATCTTTTGTCTGGTTTTCTTTAATATGGTTTTACTTAAGCATTCTCATTGATATAGATGATTAAATATATAATGGTTAGATATTTTCAAATAAACGGCATTACAAATAATGTGATACAAACTTACCATTACTAAATGCTGGCCATAACCATTACTTTTACTGGCCTTTGACACTTCCACAATCAGACAAGATTAAAATTTGATCGCTTAATCAACGTAAATGAGCCAGCATAATTTTCTTCATTTCGTATAATCGAACTATTAGATAATATAAAGTTAATATGCTTCTACTTTAGAGTCAACGTAAAGTAAAGTTTTCCACTATTAGTATCCATAATAATAGCGGGCTAAGAGTAAAATCTTTTGAATTTCGAGCTTTAGACGGCTATGCAAGTGCCTTTAAGTACAGTACAATATTTATCCTATATATATATCATATTACTCTACGAAGGTGTTGAATTACATTGTATGCCTACATCTCTGTCAAAATATGTATATCTCCTACAGGGAGATGATGTTCATATACTTGATCCAACTTTATCGGGATTAATTTAGAAAATTTATTTAGTGCATTTAGTATAAACCGATGTGATTTGATAAAATGATCTATACTGCAATCATGATCGTAAACCTACTTATGAATGATTCACTTAATCCATAGACATAGGGCTTCGTATAATGTATTTTTAGGTACATAGTTCACTACGAGGAATAAAGACAGCACAAGTCAATAAATCAAATACAAAACGTCTTTATGCCTAATTTAAATTAAAATCCGTTTTATTATAGGTTCTACTAAATATATATCATATAAACCTATCAAAAAAGACCTAAATTCCAACGAGTACGAATTTGTCGAAAGCTCTCAGTAAGACGATGACAAAAAAGTTTATAAGTTTTGCAATTTTATACATCAAATCAATCAGTAAAATTTTTCGGCGAGTTTATCTAGGATAGCAAGCTAGTAAATACATACCTTAACTACTAAATGATAATCGCTCTCGTTGCTAATTCTTTTTGAAGATAGTTTCAATCTCAAGATGACGAAGAAATGCGAATAAAACTACATGAGGATATAGAAATGTGATAAAAGATTTAGAGAGCATGACGAATAAACGGTATTAATTTATCATAATACCAGTAACTTGACGATACCGAGCAAGTGCACTACCTACATGTAAAAAGCTTCAAAAGGCAGTATCATGATCCATTCTGATTAGCACAGGTACTTTGGTACACCGAATAAATCAGACCTAAGGAGCAGCTTAAAAAGCTTATTTCTTTCGGCAATAAGTATGTTCTGGTCATGATCTTATTCTGTAGTTTATACAGGAACATTTGCTGCCTGCAAACATTGCACGAAATGCAAATTGCAATTAGTATCTATAGACGTTTCGTTTTGTTTCCACTAAAGAATTTATTCGAACAAAAAGCCTCAGTTAGCTATTGCCATCACTTATATGTTAGCGATATATCTCTGGTCAATGTATATAATTGGCATCTTTATGTAGCTTACATCAGGGACTGCTAGAAATAGCAGTAAGTCCCCTGCTTACATACACATCACCGGCATATTATCAAGCAAATAGCATTCTAAATGGGAGCATCCCTTTAAGCATCATATTTTCCTTCCTTTGCTTATTGGAAGCAATATTAGCTCTTGTGACTGGAAAATTTCCTATTTGAGAAATTTAGTATACTCGTAGCATTTTATACGAAGGATTCTTTGTGTAATTATATTTCTCCTTGTTGCCAAAGCTGATGAGTCTACCCATGACAATGTAATGCTTTTCAAATAGTTCGGCGATCTTTAGTGAAATCACCTCAAATCAGAACTTGCCCTCATTTTTAATTGACGAGACAGCTTCTAAGCATCAGTTGATGTCAGCATTGTCTCATTTCTTTTTATAACCATTGGCAAGCAAAAGCCTAGAAAAACTTCAACTTCAATTACATGTTACCAACATATTCTACAATGACCAAAAAGTAATCCTAAATCATAATTATTATATATAACATATACAAGACAATTCAGTAGGTAAATCATGGCATCGAATGCAAGGGATAAACTTGACACCTGATGTGATCACACCATTTTCTATCCAATGGCTTTTGCTATGACTAAATCTAATCTATTACAAAATAAAAGCGAAAATAAGACTATATTCTAATGTAGACAGTTAAAATCATTTAGTTATGATTATTTCTGATATTAGTAATGTATGTATATTTATTCCAATAGAATGGCTGGTGATTCAACGTATAAATTTTCTGTAGATTAATTATTCGGTTCCTATGTCATAAAGTATGTTGACAGTTATGATTTTCAGATCGACTTTTTAGTATCTCGTCTAGAAACTTAGTTTTACCCTTAAAATATATTTAATACACAGAGCAATTGTCGCAAACTCAAAATCGCATCCCCTTGGTTATAACTGACTTGCCACACCCTTAAAAATATCCTGATCAAAGAAGAAAATTATAGCATTAGTTCGAGATAAACATGAAATATTGAATATATTCAATTACGATAATACTTACTTTAGGGTCTGTTTGCAGAAAAAATATTGCACTCGGCCTCTAGAAAAGATAGGATGAATCTGCAATATATTGGGTCGTAGGATCCGGTCTCTTTCAGATCATCAATGAGCATAACGCCACTTTCGTGGTACGAATTCTTCCAGTTATTCAAGACGAAGGATAAAAGATTTCATCGTAGTCATAATTTAGTTCCATCAGTACTTTTTCGCAATTTATTACCTGGTCTCGGATTTTCTAGCTATTGCTCATAATAATCTGAAAGCATCATTCGTCTAGTCACTAAAGGATCAATCATAGCTTATAAAGTCAGCGCTTCATTATCGTTAATAGCTTTTACTTTTTTACCTAGTGAAATACGTTAGCAAACGGATACTAGTAGTCATCCTACGTTCTGTCTTCTATGTATGGCTAGCCTATTTATTAGCATCAAATCCTAGTTATAATCGAGTTTCATCATTGCCAATAGTTTTTTGCAGCTTATTACCTCACGGGGAATTCGTTAGCAAACGAATAGCGATCCTGCATTAACTTGGGTCTGGAATTTCACAATTTTCTTTTCTAGCCATAGATTCTAACAATTTTTGAAAGCATGGCTTGTCTGAATTGTCTGAACTCTATATCAGCCTTCCGTTAGCGCTCTCTATCAAAACTAATTTTGGGAATCATTTACCTACTACTTTGCACAGCAAAATGTCCTCAGCTAAGATTTGGAAGCCTTTGCTTCGCTTCGATATCGCTCTAACGCTTTACTCTAGCTGCGTACAACAATTTCAAAATACAATTACCGTAGCGTTGGATATTTAAAAAAATAATGAACCATTAAGGGTCGTTCCATTAAGGGTCGTCAGGTTATCTTTGTCTTTCATATGAGAAAGATGGCGTAACTGTATATCGTTGATTAGCAATTTAATCCGTCTAGCATTAGTAAATAAATCTCCAGATCAGTATTTGATAAAGGTATCGTAACTTAAAATTCAAATAAAATGGATTGTGATTTCATGACGTTTATTTATTGCTTGAACACTGCAATTTGGTAAATTATGGTGAATTTCTTTGCAAATAGTCCTCAAAATTCCAAGCAATCTTCACTGAATTTTAATAAGTTCAATTAATTTCTTCCGGAATGTTACTGAAATGGAACTTGCATATATTGATAGCCAGGCAAAATTTTGATAAATGACTTTGTTAATTAACTTAGCTCCTACTGTCTTGATAGCCTTGGTCAAGGAAAAATTTATTCTTCAGGCTTCTATTCTAAATTTCTTGGTATAAAAGGCAGTTTAAACGGCTAATACGTAAATTTGATCGGATAGTGTATTTCTTCCGTCTCCAGTCAGGCAGATCGATATCTGAAAGAAATACTTCGTCTGAAAGCGAATTTATACTTTCTATTTGGCTATGGTGCAAATACTTAAGGTGCTAAAATGACCTTAATTAAGTCAATACATTGCTCACCAACTTATAATTATTGGCACTCTGAAATTGGGCAGTATTTAATACTGCTAATGACGACTTCATCCTATTCTGATGCCTTCTGCATACTATAGAAAATGCTTAGCACAGTCCTAGCACAATCTTGTCACATCTTTATCCTAGTTAGGCGACATTGGCAGGAAATTATATTGCCTTTAAATAGCCGATAGTAGTAGTGCACTAGCTGGTATACTAATTGCTAATAATGAAGATTTTTACTAGTAAAATAGTAAAAAATTTAGTACCTTTATCTATGCTTAATTAATAGTCACAGCTTGAAAGAGCCAAATTTTGCACTTTAAAAGTGACAAAATTAGAACATTTGTAATAGCTAAATATCGAGTGTATTTGTACAGTACTTAGTAATTGGAATTCTGATGCTGGATAGCCTACCAGCTTCCATAATTAAATAGAAATTCTAAATTAT